TGCATTCGCTAGCTGTGTGACCCTGAGAAAGGTGTTTGCATGCTTGGTTCCTCAGTTTTTGGATTTATTGTCTTTATTATTTCTTTTTGATTTTAAGCTTTTGTAAGTTTTTCTTTAGATCATAAATATTTGATAAAGTGCAACAGAGCAAAACAATTGTTCGAACATAGTCTTTCAAGGAACTGTGCTAGTTTTTGAGAGATTTTCAAAACTAAAAGCAAAAAAGGAATTCTTCAATGTCAACATAGGTGTAATTTAGTCATTTGGTCTGAAAGGAGGGTCTCCCTGTTGGTGTGATGGGCTCTGCATTGGGTTGCTAGTCACAAGGTCAGCAGTTGGAAACCACCTGCTGCTCAGATGGAGAGAGAGGAGGCTTTCCACTCCTGTCAGAGTTATCCTCTCCGAAACCCCCGGAGAGCCACTTCTGTCCTTCAGGTTTACTTTGAATCAGCATGGACTCGAGAGTGGTGCATTTGCATCTGAAATGCAAGATGTTAACATTTCCCCCCAAAAGATCATCCTCCAAGTATTGCAACACAGAAATCCATATATTATTTTGCTTTCAATTATTGTTTAAATTATTCCAAAGCATATTTAACACATTCCATAGATACATTTGTATTATGCACTGTTAATATTGTGCTGATCTTAGAATTAAAATTAGAATTTCCAATTATTAATACGCTAAACATATCATATTTTTATTTAGGAAGAGTGAATCGTCTTATCAAGTTCAACAAGTCAATATTCTTGCTCAGTTTTATAACGATGTGGCAAATATTTCAAGCATTAGTTTGACATATTTCCAGAGCTCAAATCTGCAGTGTCCCACATGCAAATACAAGATCCAGAGTCTTATGTTAAGATCACTTACATATCCGGAAAGGTAAGGAAGCAGAGGTGTGGTTTGAAATGCTTTAACCTGAAGATAATTGATTTGTTATAGAATGGTTTAAGTACTCATGTATTGGAATATTTATTGCATATTTACTACATAAATATTAGAATATTAGAAGGTTGCTTGAAGTATTCCATGTTTCTATATTTGCATTTGTAACATCATTATCAAAGTTCTCTAACTCATGTGGTTGGGTGCCATGGAGTTAGTTTCAGCTCAAAGTGCCCTTATGCACAATAGAACAAAATAATATTCAGTTCTGTGCTGTTTTCACAATTGTTACCTGTGATTTAGCTTTTGTATTTAATGTGTCAATTTATTTCATCACAGGTCTTTTCCCTTTTCAGTTAGCTCTACTTTCCCAAGGATAATATCCTCTTCCAGGGACTGGTCTCCCTTAGTAACATGTCTTTAAAAAAGTATCTGAGACGACGTCTCTGCTGCCTCTCTTTTAAGGTGTATTCTGATTGTACTTTTCTAGAACAGTATTGTTTGTGCCTTTGGAAGTCCATGGTTTATCCAATATGCTAGGTCAACACCATAATCCAGATGTATCAACTTACACATTAAGAGCATACTTTGTTTTATTGCATTTTCTTTTGTTTCTCTTAACCTATATTGTGTTTTATACAAATTGAAGGTTTATTACAACTCTGATTCAAGCAAGTCTACCATTACCATTTTCCCTATAGCCATGTGCTTCCTTAGTGTCCGTGGGTGACATTTCCATAATTCTCACGGTATCTCACACTTTTTCATAATGCTGCTTCACACTCAACAGATGACAGGATAGTGTAAATATATGCACTGGTAAATGAAAAGAAATCATGTGTCGTTCTCTTTATTGAGATAGTCACTTGATTGTGATGGTCTAGAACAGAATCCTCAATATTTATAAGGCATGACTGTAAATAACAATTTTGCAGAAAGTAAGAACAATCAAAATAATGTAAGTGTGTGCAACCAACAAGGCATAGAAACACAAAAGAGTTGGAAAATATTTGTAAAGTACCTAACTTTTGGTATGATTAGATTTAGTCATTCAATATTCAATAAAGCTGTTTATTTTATTGCCCTTTGCCCTCTCGTGGAATGCTTGTGAGTATAGTAAAATATATGAGCATTTTTCAGCTGAAACATTAACAACTTTACCTATCAAATGCTCAGTGAAAAACAGAGGAAGTGAGTGGCAAAACAGGGTGGGTAAAGGGAGAATGGGTAGGAAAGAGGGAACCGATTACATGGAACTGTGTGTGACCTCCTCCCTGGGAGACTGGCTAGACCAGAGGAGGTACACTGGTACAGATAGGAACTGAAAATACAGGGAATCCAGGACGGATGAGCCCTATAGGACCAGTGGTATGC